TTTCGAATATAAATTTTGAAATTAACCCCATTTTTGCCAACAATAAACTTTCAGCAACGTCGTTTAAATTTAATCCAAGCATATCTATTGTTACTGAAATCCTGTCTATGTATTCTAACCTATATATCCTCTTATCCTCCTCTAAAAACGTCTTACTTATTCCATTCTTATAGTTATTAATAAACGTGGCTACCCTGCTTTGTTCTTCATTAATATATTTCGTCAAATTTTTAAACATTATGCCGAACTTGTTACCTGTTTTCTCCTGTGCGGACACGGCCTCTCGTAATCTCTCCTCCTCGTTCTGTATTTTCCTTATTTCCTGTTCTAATTTCTCTGCATCTTCTGCATCTAGATTTCCTGTTATGGACTTAACAACTGATCCTAACCCATTAATTAGTCCCCTTGGTTTCCTTTTCTTAGGGCATATCGTCTCTAGTCTTGTTTTAATCATATTTAACTTGTTCTGTAATGCTCTCACGAGGTCTCTTGTTTCTGCATCGTCAGCTATGTCTCTGAGTGTCCTTCCTATGTTTTCTATTGCTTCCTGGTATTCTTGCAACCTTACTATGTGTATCAAATTCCTATGTGTTTGTATTATTCTTGCAGGGCCTAAGTTTATTTGTGCTAACGGCTCGTCTCCTTGTAACTCCCGAATCTCGAGACTCCTTCCTTCGGCCATGGTCACCGACCACCTGTAATTGTTATTATTCGTTTGATTTGGTTAGTCTTCTAATTTTTTCCTTGTGGATTTTCTGGGGTTTGGTAGATGTTAGTGTTAATCCGTTGTCTTCCAGCACCTTGTGTTTTGAAAATCTAGGGGTAAGTTTGTCCCTCCTGTTCTCTTTCCTAAATATTGTATCCCCTGGTTCTACTGGGTTCGGATACTCTCTGTTTGTATTTGCTGATTCTATACGTTTATTTTTCCTCTGTTCCACCATCTCCCTGATTTTCGGGTATAATTCGGCCTGAAAAGCATTGATTTTCTGCAAATAATCATGCTCGTTGTTAAACGCTATGTTATTCCGAAAATGATGTGTTCTACCCGTGAATAATTCCTGTGGTGTTAACTTCGTAGCCGAATGAATAGCATTGTTGTATGTTATGAATGCTTCGTCCAATATTTCCTCATGCCTAATTTCCATTTTATTTGTTTTCTTTGCCTCGGTTATTAATCTATATATTTCTGTCAAGGTAGAGTGCAGTCTTTCGATTGTGGAATTACTTGACGACTGTTGAAAGGAGGTTGTATGCAGTTCCAATTCGTACTGCCTACAAAAGTCCTTAAACAGGTTGGAAGAGAATTCCACTCCCTGGTCACATACTAACTTTTTGGGTATCCCGAACAAAGCCATGAAATTTTTTATCGCCTTTACCACGTTTATACTTTCTTTTGCTGGAATCGTTTTTCCCCACGCATATCTTGAGAACTTATCTATTATGGTTAATATATTTTTCTTATTAATAAAATATAAATCTATATGCACTACCTCCATGGGTCCCTGTGGAGTTTCCGTCATGCTGTATTTAATTTTGTGTGGATTCCTGTCGTATTTCTGTATTTGACAACTATCGCAGTTATTAATTGTTTGTGCTATAGCCTGTCTCATGTGCGGAAAGAACACCCTTCTTTTTAGGTGGGCTAAAGTTTCATCTATTCCCCTATGATTACTTTTTCCGTGATAATCCTTAATAATTTGTTCTTGTTGTATTTTCTCCGTAATGTCCGGTAATAATATTACACATCGTATTGCTTTATACAGCTTACTATATGCAAAGTACTTGCAATATACGTCCTGGATTGTTATTACTAAGTTATCTGGTATTAATAACGCTACTGTTCTTTTTGGTTTTAAAAATTCCTTTAATCTCCGGGCAATATTTTCCTCATTGAAAGTATTTTCTGTCCAAGTTATTCTTAGTTTATTCCTAAACGGAATTTCTTTTTTTATTTTCGATTGTCCCCCTTCTTCAACAACTACTTGAATGTTAAATTCATTTAATGGTTTTTCCGATATAGGAAACCCAAGCTGTAAGTCCTCTCCTGCAGAGTGGATCGTTTCACCGTTCGTTGCTACCTCCGAGACATTTTCTAACACATTCATCTCTGGCTGGATCCTGCTCAACGCGTCTGCCACCACATTCAGGGATCCTTTTTTATACACTATCTCGTAATCGTACTCCAGCATTTGAAGCCTCCATCTTACTAGTTTAGAATCCGGTTCTTTGATGCTCATAAGCCAGGTTAATGGCCTATGATCCGTCACTATCTTAAACTTGGTACCAAACAGGTAGTGTCTAAAGTGTTTAATCGCCCAAATAATGGCCAGCATTTCTTTCTCTATGGTCGCGTAATTCACCTCTGCTCCTGATAACGTTCTACTCCCATACGCTATTGGCCTATCTGTCCCCAAATTCCCTTGGGACAAAACAGCTCCAATTGCATAATTGCTGGCATCTGTAGTAAGGATGAACGGTTTCTCGAAATCTGGGAATTGTAATATCGGGTCGTTACACAACAAGGTTTTGCACACCTCAAATGTTTCTCTGTACTCTTCGTCCACTTGTACGGCCTTTTTCCCTTTCAATTGTCTTGTCATTGGTTTTGTTATGGCTGCGAAATCCCTTATAAATTTCCTGTAATATCCTAGTAATCCTAGGAAGGACTTAATCTGTTTTCTAGTCTTGGGAATTTCAAATTTCTTTATCGCCTCGATTTTCCCCGGGTTCGGTTTGATGCCCTGTTGGGTTACTACATGCCCTAAATATTCTACTTCTTTCCTTAAAAATTCCGTCTTGTCTAGTTGCAGCTTGAAATTGGCTTCTGTAAGTTTCCTAAAGACTTTTTCCAGGTCCGTGATATGTTCTTGTAGGGATGTTGAATATACCATTATATCGTCCATGTATATTAGGCAACACTTCCCCAGCAATTCTCCGAAAATGTTGTTCATCAGCCTCTGGAAGGTCGCCGGAGCATTGTTCAGTCCGAACGGCATCCTTACGTATTCGAAATGACCGCCTTCTGCCGAGAAGGCTGTCTTCGGAATGTCTGCCTCCTTTACTTCAATTTGATGGTAACCGCTAGCCAAGTCCAGGGTTGAGAAGTATTTTGCTCTTCCCAAACTGTCTAGCACATCGTTAATTATTGGTAGTGGATACCTGTCCTTGATTACTTTTTCGTTAAGCTTCCTGTAGTCCACTACCATCCTCCATTTTCTCTCCCCCGATGCGTCTTTCTTCTTTGGCACTAACCAGACCGGAGCACTCCATGGAGAATGGCTATGCCTAATAATCCTTTGGTCCAATAGCTTTTCCAACTGTTTCCTGATCTCCTGCCTTTCTTTAAACGCATATCTGTACGGCCTGACGTATATCGGAATGTCGTCCTTTGTTCTTATATGGTGTTTGACCGCATTCGTAAACGATAAGTTTTCCCCTTCTCTGTGGAATACCTTGGGGTATTTCCTACAAATCCTTCTTAGTTCAGCCAATTCCTCACAATTTAAATGTTCCGTTCTAATCTTGTCGAACGGTATATCCTTGTTTCCGTTTCCTATCTCCTCTATGTTGTTCAGTTCGAAGTGTTGTTCTGATTTAAATTCAGTAACCTTCAACGGTTCCTCCAAAAACAATTCTTGGTCTACCTCTGCATAATTCGTCACCTCCACTAGGCTCCGTCCGGCTACCGCTGTATAAATACCTTCCGAGAAAACCATGTCCTCCTTTATTGACGTCCTACCCAACAAGAAATCTCCATCCTGCATTTGTACCGGGACGGAAACAACTCTTTTGTTCCCGCTTCTATCGTGTATACATCCGTTGGTCTATATTTCTCGAAATGAACCTTCAACTTCCCGCTTGCCGTGTGGAACCACCCCTTTTCTACATCGATAATGGCTCCTAGTTGCTGTAACACATCTATTCCAATTAATCCTTCAAAAAACTGGTGAAATTTGAATAGTAGCATTCTCATCTCCCCTACTCCTCCCAGTTCTTCAAACATTGGAATAAACGCCTCTCTTAAAATTGCATGAGATTGGGTTATTGTTTTAATATTTATTGGCTCTCGTAACTCTCTTATGTCTTGTGTTTGTACCAATTCAGGCCGGATAAAAGAAAAGGTGGATCCTGTATCAATTAATATCTTAACTATTCCTGAGGTGCCTCTGATCTTCAAATACGGTAGAGTGGAGTGACCTTTCCTCGTCCCTAGATATCCTGTTGATTGTTCGAGGCTAGCTGCTGAAAATTTCCATCCTCTTCCTGGATGTTATGTAGCTGCCCCCCAGTTGCCGATCTGTTTTCTCCTCTATTGGAACTATTGGTCGAGTTATATGATCTCTTCGAATTGTTCGAAAAATTCGACTGCCTGGAGTTGTTGGAGTTGTATGATTGCCCTGAATAATTTGAATTCCCAGACATCCTTGATTGCCCACTTCCTTGCGTATCTTTTGGTGCCTGGATTGCTAATTGACTTCCCCCTCTGGGCTTGCCATTATTATAGTTATAGTTACTATTCCATTGCCTGTCTCGATTTTGTTGTCCATAATTCCATTTAGCGTTCCTATTCTGGTAGTTGCGATATTGTCTTGGGTACCCGGATGTCTCTCCTTGACCAAAATTGTTTGGTCCAAATGAATTGCCCATCATTGGGTATGGAAACCCGAATCCTGGCCATCCATTCATATTTGGCATTGCGAACGGCATCGGGAATGGTGGTTGGGCATTGTCTCCCCATCGATACTGTGCCCAGGTGCCTGTTTGCGTTTCTGCTATCGGAATCGGCACCTCCTCGTGCTCCTGTTTCGGAATCTCTTTAACCTCCTTCCTTTGCGACTCGGTCAGTTCCTGATTCCTTGGCTCCAGGTTCTTTTTATCCATCTCTCCTAAGTTCCTTTCTCGACAAGCTATTTCATATGCCTTTGCTATAGTTGGCACACTCATGTTCCTAATGGTCACGCCTACTGGTCCGTCCAGCGCTGATATGAAGGCATTCAACGCTATCTCCTCATACCATTTGGGTTTGTCTCCCTGAGTATCATCCCCCGTTCCAAAGCCTTGTTCTGGTTAACGAGGGCTTTCTTCAAGGCCATAACCTTCGTGTACAAAGTGTCCAAATCCAATTTCTTTTCCTTCAGGTGTGTTAACTCCATAATTAGGTCTTGCTCCGACCTCTTGTCCTTGAAATGTGTTATTAGCGTTTCCTTGATACGGTCCCAGTTCAATTCCGATTCATCTAGATCCAGAGCCCTATCCGCTGCTCCTACAATCTTGCTCCTAATGGCCCTTAATGCTATTAGTCCTACACTCGACCTTTCTTCCCCTTTAATAAGACCTAGGACCTGCTCTACCGCTGCTATAAATCCGTTTAATTTTCCAGACTCCCCCTCGTACTTTGGAATAATCTCCACTAGGTCTACTACCTTAATCGCTTCTAGTACGCTTGTTGTTGCCATTGCTACGGGTTCCTTTTCTACCTGCATTACTTTCGGACTTAACTTTCTTGGAATTCCCAAAGTCTATCTTGCTTATTCGTAATTTTCTTATAATACTTAGCTTAATCTTTTAGTGATGTAATAATAATTAATAGGTAAGTATTATGTGTGTTCTTATTTACTATATATCCTGCTGGTTGGTTATCTCAATGTTATTCCTATCTTCTGTTGTTGTTATAGTGTAGTGGCTTCGTGAGTTTCCGTGTGGAGACTTGGAGTTCTGTAATTAATTATCGTAAGTTAACTTCAAAAGATTTTCCTTTTTCTTTTTTTCCAATAGCAACAATGGACTTCCTCTTAATATTTATTCTGCTATCATCCGTAAAGTAGCCGTTTTCGTCCCTAACATTATTGTTTCGAGCACTCGCTGCTCCTAGCATGCTGAAGCTAGTTGTTCAGCTGTGAGCTACAGCTAAACAACTAATTGCGGACAGTCATTGCCAGTTTCCTCTTTAATTTCCTTTTCATCGCTCCTGGTCTTATAATTGTCTTCGGTCATTCCTACGCTAAGTGACCACAGTGTGTCACCTACTACGTGTAAATGACCAAATCGTGTACCTTATGTCTTCAGCTATATATTCCTTCCTTGTTCTAATCCTTCCACCTTCATGCTAAACCACCGCCCTGTGCGTTACAAGGCGCAGTCTAATACATGCCAATGGATTTCTTTCCTCCTACTCGGTTTTACTTCGAATTAACACTTCCCTTGCTAAACAGTCGCTCTGTGCTCTACAGTTCGCCATTTAATACAACTGAAAGTCCAACCGAAATAAACTATTCACTCACAACTGAACATTATTCTCCATGTTCAACGTATTTCTTATTGACATTATGCACCGTTTGTCTAGTACTCATCCATCATTATTTATTCGTTCAGTTAACTTCCTACTGTGCAGGGTGCCCGAGCTTGCTCGGTCGACCCATTGTGTATTAACTATAACCACAACGTCGCCGATCGAGCCGCTCGACCGGACCACTCGGTGCACATCAAACCCTTGACCTGCTGCCAACGCCGATCGAAGTGCCTGACCTACACCCACCGTTGATCGCACCGACCTACTTAACGTCAAACTGTTGGTACCCATGACTAGGTCGATGCTCGATGCATTCTGCTATTCAACTTGACCTCGTTTGACTTTTCGCCTACATCAACATTATTTCGTTTACTTATAATCAATTATTTGCACACTCACACTGCTCAATACTATAATTCTCCACCTTTTTATCATATTCTCTCTTTTATATTAATACGCCTCGCATTCAATATCATACCCTCTAGTTTTAGTCTTTATTAATTTTCTTTTTCCTGAGGGTACGATTCGATCCCGCTGTACTTCACTCCTTTTACCGATCTTAATATATTTCCTGATTATAGGCTTTCTCTTCTCCATTATTATTGCTTTTACTTTTGTTACTTTTACTTTACTATTCACTCCATGTCACACACTTCACTCTACCCACTTTCTTACATAATAATAATTAGGATCCTGATCATCCTTCTCGGTCTTCGTCGTCTCGGATCCTGCTCGTCCTTGATCGTCCAAAGGTCCTTTGTAGAATCCGTTCGTGGGCGAAGACTACCGACTGCGCCAGTTATAATAGGTTCGAATTGGGAATGTTGTACTTGATTTGGGAATCACTTTGACTTCACAAGATTTTGAATAAAACGCCCGGATGGTTTGAGTTCAACTTTAAGACTGATTCTGTATTTCTCTTTTGGTTGGTTTGTTGATTCTTATTCTAACATAAAATGCTGATCTAACGGAAAGTGCTTACTCTATGGATTTGAAGTGGGTCGTATAATTGGAGTAGTTTAGTAGAGTGGCTAAGCGGAGCGGATGCTATTGTTTTGATTCGTCTGCGATTCGATGCATCGGTTATTAGTAGGGCGATCGGATGGCCGCTGAAGTGTTTGCTGAGGCGGCGTGACGATCGGGTGGCCGCTTAAGTGTTTGCTGTAGCGGCGGTTACAATAGTCGCGGCGGTTTTGGTGGGGGACCGCCGAGGCTAATTGTTGAGGCGGTAACTCGTGCGCTGCGAAAACGGTTCTAGATACACAAAAGTTATGTATGGAAGAATTATTTCTCTTTTAATTATCTAAAAAAAGTCCACGGGAGTATATGTCTATCTCTTAGGATTAACTCAAGAGAAACGTTTTTGTGATAAATAATTAAATTAAGAGAAGCTGGAGAGTTTGTTTGGTTGTTTGTTTAAACGCACTTATCTCCGAAGCTATAGGCTCGAATTGAATAATTCTTTCAGTGTTGGATAGTCCATTTATTGAGGAAGGCTTGAAGCTTTATATCATCACGCTGCGACACATAGGAACGAAGAAAAAGTGTTAAATGTTTAAAAAACGGGGGAAATTATCTATCTCTGAGTGCTTTCGATACGTGCGCTGCGAAAACGGTTCTAGATACACAAAAGTTGTGTATGGAAGAATTATTTCTCTTTTAATTATCTAAAAAAAAGTCCACGGGAGTATATGTCTATCTCTTAGGATTAACTCAAGAGAAACGTTTTTGTGATAAATAATTAAATTAAGAGAAGCTGGAGAGTTTGTTTGGTTGTTTGTTTAAACGCACTTATCTCCGAAGCTATAGGCTCGAATTGAATAATTCTTTCAGTGTTGGATAGTCCATTTATTGAGGAAGGCTTGAAGCTTTATATCATCACGCTGCGACACATAGGAACGAAGAAAAAGTGTTAAATGTTTAAAAAAACGGGGGAAATTATCTATCTCTGAGGGCTTTCGATGCGTGCGCTGCGAAAACGGTTCTAGATACACAAAAGTTGTGTATGGAAGAATTATTTCTCTTTTAATTATCTAAAAAAAAGTCCACGGGAGTATATGTCTATCTCTTAGGATTAACTCAAGAGAAACGTTTTTGTGATAAATAATTAAATTAAGAGAAGCTGGAGAGTTTGTTTGGTTGTTTGTTTAAACGCACTTATCTCCGAAGCTATAGGCTCGAATTGAATAATTCTTTCAGTGTTGGATAGTCCATTTATTGAGGAAGGCTTGAAGCTTTATATCATCACGCTGCGACACATAGGAACGAAGAAAAAGTGGTAAATGTTTAAAAAACGGGGGAAATTATCTATCTCTGAGTGCTTTCGATACGTGCGCTGCGAAAACGGTTCTAGATACACAAAAGTTGTGTATGGAAGAATTATTTCTCTTTTAATTATCTAAAAAAAAGTCCACGGGAGTATATGTCTATCTCTTAGGATTAACTCAAGAGAAACGTTTTTGTGATAAATAATTAAATTAAGAGAAGCTGGAGAGTTTGTTTGGTTGTTTGTTTAAACGCACTTATCTCCGAAGCTATAGGCTCGAATTGAATAATTCTTTCAGTGTTGGATAGTCTATTTATTGAGGAAGGCTTGAAGCTTTATATCATCACGCTGCGACACATAGGAATGAAGAAAAAGTGGTAAATGTTTAAAAAACGGGGGAAATTATCTATCTCTGAGTGCTTTCGATACGTGCGCTGCGAAAACGGTTCTAGATACACAAAAGTTGTGTATGGAAGAATTATTTCTCTTTTAATTATCTAAAAAAAGTCCACGGGAGTATATGTCTATCTCTTAGGATTAACTCAAGAGAAACGTTTTTGTGATAAATAATTAAATTAAGAGAAGCTGGAGAGTTTGTTTGGTTGTTTGTTTAAACGCACTTATCTCCGAAGCTATAGGCTCGAATTGAATAATTCTTTCAGTGTTGGATAGTCCATTTATTGAGGAAGGCTTGAAGCTTTATATCATCACGCTGCGACACATAGGAACGAAGAAAAAGTGGTAAATGTTTAAAAAACGGGGGAAATTATCTATCTCTGAGTGCTTTCGATACGTGCGCTGCGAAAACGGTTCTAGATACACAAAAGTTGTGTATGGAAGAATTATTTCTCTTTTAATTATCTAAAAAAAGTCCACGGGAGTATATGTCTATCTCTTAGGATTAACTCAAGAGAAACGTTTTTGTGATAAATAATTAAATTAAGAGAAGCTGGAGAGTTTGTTTGGTTGTTTGTTTAAACGCACTTATCTCCGAAGCTATAGGCTCGAATTGAATAATTCTTTCAGTGTTGGATAGTCCATTTATTGAGGAAGGCTTGAAGCTTTATATCATCACGCTGCGACACATAGGAACGAAGAAAAAGTGGTAAATGTTTAAAAAACGGGGGAAATTATCTATCTCTGAGTGCTTTCGATACGTGCGCTGCGAAAACGGTTCTAGATACACAAAAGTTGTGTATGGAAGAATTATTTCTCTTTTAATTATCTAAAAAAAAGTCCACGGGAGTATATGTCTATCTCTTAGGATTAACTCAAGAGAAACGTTTTTGTGATAAATAATTAAATTAAGAGAAGCTGGAGAGTTTGTTTGGTTGTTTGTTTAAACGCACTTATCTCCGAAGCTATAGGCTCGAATTGAATAATTCTTTCAGTGTTGGATAGTCCATTTATTGAGGAAGGCTTGAAGCTTTATATCATCACGCTGCGACACATAGGAACGAAGAAAAAGTGGTAAATGTTTAAAAAAACGGGGGAAATTATCTATCTCTGAGGGCTTTCGATGCGTGCGCTGCGAAAACGGTTCTAGATACACAAAAGTTATGTATGGAAGAATTATTTCTCTTTTAATTATCTAAAAAAAGTCCACGGGAGTATATGTCTATCTCTTAGGATTAACTCAAGAGAAACGTTTTTGTGATAAATAATTAAATTAAGAGAAGCTGGAGAGTTTGTTTGGTTGTTTGTTTAAACGCACTTATCTCCGAAGCTATAGGCTCGAATTGAATAATTCTTTCAGTGTTGGAAAGTCCATTTATTGAGGAAGGCTTGAAGCTTTATATCATCACGCTGCGACACATAGGAACGAAGAAAAAGTGGTAAATGTTTAAAAAAACGGGGGAAATTATCTATCTCTGAGGGCTTTCGATGCGTGCGCTGCGAAA